CCATGTTTAATTGACACGCTGATCAATTAAAATACGCTGATTGGCTGGATTCAAGCCTCGTCCCCTACTCCCTAACACCATCTACACAAGGGGGGAGGGGGGCATATAAGGACAACCTTTACCCAAGGAAGCTCAGTATCAGAGTTCTCAGCTCTGATGATGCAAACTGCAACGTTTGCGAAACGTCGGCACACCGCTGATTCAAGACACGGCTCCATTCCGGAAGCTATACCTAAATTACCAGTATTACTTAATTGTTTGCAACATGCCTTTCTGTAAAAACACCTTAAAACGAAGTTCTTCACAGACAGAGTAGAAACACCTTAACACGAAGTTCTTCACAGACGTAATTAAAAGTGAATGTTCTGATGTATTACCTGCAAACTATCAGCGTTATTTTCATCACATCATAGAGCGCGATTACATTTAGCGAGTAGCTCACCACGTATGGCACACACAAATCGAGTAGCAGCTGAGTTGGCACAATACGATCTTTCTAATGGTTCTCATCGTATGTAGATATAATACCATATGATACGCCAAGCGCTATTGAAACGACAGATTAACCGAATAATTAAACATGATAATGTATACACACATTCAGACACGATGCACTGTTAGAAAATGCAATTAGTTTTGATCTTGTAAGGATTTTGCTGAAGCGCAGTATACATCGGATTTCTGTTTAATCATCACAGTCATCACGAGCGAAATTCATACTCCTTATGTTATTTTTCGAGTTATTCGTTTCCTTTTTTACGACGAGAATGGGGAAAGAAAAGAGACGTTAAGTTTGTCTGATGTTTCTCCACAGAGGAAAAGCTGACATACAATACGGCAGATGTTGTTAGAATTTATTGTTGGTATGGTATACCCATTACTCTTCAGTACAGGATTGAATGAATATTACGTCATCCCTAATTAGAGCACGATCGTAAAAAGCGTTTTTTACATATTCTTACATCCTCATTAGAACATATCTTTCGATATATTGTTGTTCATCATCGATCGCAGATCATTATACTCCTGTAACTCTTGAGACCATTGCACCATGAGCATCACGAAAGTTGCAACCACCGCGCAAAACTAGAATGGAACATATTAAGAGCTTAACAGTACAGTTTATTTGCATTGCGTGCTACACATACCAGCACTTTATCGCAATCCGTCGTTAAACAAGTTAGAGTGTGTAGACTGATACGTGGTAAAAAGAGTAGTGATTATTTTACGATAACAGGGATAAACTTGAAAAAACAATTTCCCTGATCGTTATTTGTGATATGGGACATGACCAACGAGTGAACGAAGTTAGACGAGATAGTAACAAGGTGGAGACAAACCTTCCAGAGTAACTTGATACCGAAGCAAAAGAGCCTCAGACCGGTGAACTTCAGTGGATGATGCATCGTTTGCAAAATGAATTGACAAAGCTACAAACAGGCACAAGCGCGACTTTTTCCAACGTGATCGCTCACAAACGCATCGCTTGCGCATCTCGTTTATATAAAAGTAATCACTTACCTCCTGGTGCATATCGGCGTATCGCAGAATAATTGTCAGCTGATGAATTGTCTCGCTAATTTTATTAGCCTGAAAACAGAAAATGAACGTCGCTACTACATCGACACTATATTTCTTTCGAGAATCGCGCGCGTAATATTACCTTAACACTGACGCTCTCGCAAATGTAATTAATGGAGTAGAGTCTTATGATGCATATGCAGGCCCATATAATGCCGTTGAGCCAGATATATATTGATATGCCTTTCCGAATAAGCAGCGCTACATAAAAATAAAACGTCAATGACGTCAAGTATACGAGATAGGTCAACATCTCCAAAGTCATCTGCGTTCCGAATATCAGGTTCAGTTCACGCGCGATGCGACATAATTCTAGCTGAAGATGCCTGTTGGAGAACAAATTTCGTTACGCCACAATGTACAAATCGCGAGAGTATCGTAGGAGAAGAAGTATATCGGCTCGTACAATCGATTATTTTTCAAATTGGAATAGAGTGTCTTATCGCGTATTTCGTGTTATTATCAAGTCAATAATTTATATAGGCATGCAGGTATACCGATTTACATTGAGGTCCACAACACTCGCTTATAATTATCGGCATAGGTATGTCGGTAAACAGCAACCACTGGTTTCTTCCACGTACACCTCAAGCCGTACTCCTCGCTCACCAGAAGGCCTCGTACATTTTCGTTAAGTTTGTCGAATCTGGTGCCTATATACCTGTGTTGCGAAGCATATCTAGAATATTACAGAACGAAATCTCTCCGATTTCGGACGCGGTAAATTTCGACAAGACAAGTACACAGAGTCATGATATTAAACGAAAATATACAGGAGGTATTCTGATTAAATGAGCACACGATCGAACAATCGAGCAAGCAAATTATAGTTATTGTGTACAGACCACATGAAGAAGATAAACGTCAAATCCACGAATGTGTTGACGTAATAACAATGATTCAGCATATAAGATATGAGATACGCCCAATTAGACTGCGATACTTTTTGCCACCAGTAGAAATCGATAGTATTTTTGAAGAGTATGAAAACGACCCATCCAGCTACTATACGTTTTGACCACATGTGCATCTCTCGGTATATTTTTGGAATCTCCAACTCTTCCAACGTGTCGTCCACAGTGGCGAGCCTCTTAATGCACGTCCTTAATTTCTGAAACGTTACATGAGATGCAATTGAAGAAGGGGGGAGATCACTTAAAAGATGTCACTAAGAATTAAATTTTACTATTTCATTTTTATCGACGCGAATTTCTTCTTTTTACGAGTTATGTGCTTATCAACGACGAAATTTGCTTCCCGACAAGCGTTATTGTTCAAAATCACTTACATGGGAGATGTTTTTACTCCAAATAGCATTACGATACTCGGATGTGGCGCAATAAACTCGCTGACACGCGAACAGTCCGACATTGTCTTTGCACTTTTCCATTACGCGGTCGTACCTTGTCATAACATAGGCCAATGATTACGGACGTGAGCGTAGTGGACATGTTGATCACACTCATAATTATCGAAATGGGTCTTCGAATTATTATGCTCCAAGTAAACATCATTGTTATGCAGTAATAGAAGCAGCCGTAAACGCACCACAGCAACAAAGAATACAACATGCTGAAGCACGGCTTCGCTCGATTCGTAGGATAGATTCCCAAGCCGATAATAAACCAGGTGACGAAGAGAGGTTTTACGCTCTGTTGGATAATGGTCAACGTGGCCATCGTCTGCCGCAAACTAACAACGAATGTCCGTTGAAACTCCCATTTGCCGTATGCATCGCTCTGTGTTACGTTGACGCCACAAGAAAACAAGGATCCTCGTAATCACAATATCTTCGTTGTACAAGCACTTACGCATATGAAAATAATTGATCTATCCTGTTAAAAGAAATTATTCGTCATCGAAGTCACCCTTCATGCCGTAAATCAAGCGAAACTCATTAAAATACCAACGGCAACGCCAACGCCAACGCGGACATATTTTTTGTCAGAAAGCTCTATACAGAAGCTCTATTAAATAGAAGCTTCTTTATTATCTATTTGGAATAATCATACAGTGTGTTATGCATACGCAAGAAATTATAATTATTCTACTGAACCTTGTTTTTATTTCATTTGCTTGATTGCAGCTATTATTATGATTGTCGTGAAGGATTGTACAAACTGAAAGAAATTGTCTTATTACACTTAGAATTTTGAAACTTAATATAAATAAATAAATAAAGAAATAAATAAATAAATATATATATATATGTGTGTGTGTGTGTGTGTGTGTGTGTGTGTATGTGTGTGTGTCTGTGTGTATGTCTATGTCTGAAATGGACTACGGACCATAAGCATAAATTTGTAGCCCATATTGAAGAATCAGTACACGGAGATCGTTAAAGGATTTTGCAGTAATTGTAGCAGACATTGCGTAATCTGTAAATAATTGCATAATTAGAAATATATATAGTTTCGCGTAAGCAAGCATTTATACGTTAGAATTGTCTTACATTTTGCTTAATCTCTGCATCGAGGGTAAGATTCGATAATCTGTTGAGAAATACTCCGCCACCCTTTGCCTAATATTATCAGAATTTAATAATTATATAAAAAATTATATTAAAAAATTATATATACAAATTAAAATAATTTTGAATTCAAATTAAAATATGCAAATTACAAAGAATAAAGATTTTTAAGAGGGAAATGATCAGATAGTATTTTATTATATATTTAAAGTTATATCATTTAATGGTTTAAAAAGTAAACAACAAATTGCCAATATTACTTAATTGTTTGCAACATGCCTTTCTGTAAAAGGAGTAGAAACACCTTAACACGAAGTTCTTCACAGACGTAATTAAAAGTGAATATTCTGATGTATTATCTGCAAACTATCAGCGTTATTTTCATCACATCGTAGAGCGCGTTTACATTTAGCGAGTAACTCACCACGTATGGCACACACAAATCGAGTAGCAGTTGAGTTGGCGCAATACGATCTTTCTAATGGTTCTCATCGTATGTAGATATAATATGATATGATACGCCAAGCGTAATTGAAACAACAGATTAACCGAATAATCAATGATAATGTATACACACATTCAAACACGATGCAAATTGTTAGAAAATGGAATTAATTTTGGTCTTGTAAGGATTTTGCTGAAGCGCAGTATACATCGGATTTCTGTTTAATCATCACAGTCATCACGAGCGAAATTCATACTCGTTATGTTATTTTTTGAGTTATTCGTTTCCTCGTTTACGACGAGAACGGGGAAAAAAAGAGACGTTAATCTTGTCTGATGTTTGTCCACAGAGGAAAAGCTGATATACAACAAGGCAGATGTTGTTACAATTTATTGTTGGTATGGTTTACCCATTACTCTTCCGTACAGGATTGAATGAACATTACGTCATCCCTAATTAGAGCACGATCGTAAGAAGCGTTTTTTATACATTCTTACATCCTCATTAGAACATATCTTTCGAGATATTGTTGTTTATCTTCGATCGCAGATCATTATACTCCTGTAACTCTGGAGATAATTGCACTGCGAGCATCGTGAAAGTTGCAACCACCGCGCAAAACTAGAATGGAACATATTAAGAGCTTAACAGTACAGTTTATTTTCATTGCGTGCTATGCATACCAGCACTTTATCGCAATCTGTCGTTAAACAAGTTAGAATGTGGAGACTGATACGTGGTATATGCTATAAAAAGGGTAGTGTTTATTTTATGATAACGGGGAAGAACTTGATAGAATAATTTCCCTGTTTGTTATTTGTGATATGGGACATGACCAACGAGTGAACGAGGATAGACGAGGAAGCAACAAGGTGGAGACAAACCTTCCAGAGTAACTTGGTACCGAAGCAAAAGAGCCTCAGACCGGTGAACTTCAATGGATGATGTATCGTTTGCAAAATAAATTGACAAAGCTGCAAACAGGCACAAGCGTGAATTTTTCAAATATGATCTCATACAAACGCGTCGCTTCTAGCTTATATAAAAGTAATCACTTACCTCCTGGTGCATATCGGCGTATCGCAGAATAATTGTCAACTGATGAATTGTCTCGCTAATTTTGTTAGCCTGAAAACAGAAAATGAACGTCTCTACTACATCGACACTATATTTCTTTCGAGAATTGCGCGCGTAATATTACCTTAACGCTGACGCTCTCGCAAATGTAATTAAGGGAGTAGAGTCTTATGATGCATATGCAGACCAATATAATGCCGTTGAGCCAGATATATATTGATATGCCTTTCCGAATGGGCAGCAATATACTAACATAAAACGCCAGTGACGTAAAGTATAAGAGATAGGTCAACATCTCCAAGGTTATCTGCGTTCCGAATATCAGATTCAGTTCACGCGCGATGCGACATAATTCTAGCTGAAGATGCCTGTTGGAGAACAAATCTCGTTACGCCACAATGTATAAATCGCGAGAGTATCGTAGGAGAAGAAGTATATCGGCTCGTACAATCGATTTATTATATTATTTTTCAAATTGGCATAGAGTGTCTTATCGCGTATTTCGTGTTATTATCAAGTCAATAATTTATACAGGCATGCAGGTGTACCGATTTACATTGAGGTCCACAACACTCGCTTATAATTATCGGCATAGGTATGACGGTAAACAGCAACCACTGGTTTCTTCCACGTACACCTCAAGCCGTACTCCTCGCTCACCAAAAGGCCTCGTACATTTTCGTTAAGTTTGTCGAATCTGGTGCCTATATACCTGTGTTGCGAAGCATATCTAGAATATTACAGAATGAAATCTCTCTGATTTCGGACCCGGTAAATTTTGACAAGACAAGTACACGGAGTCATGTCTTTTGTTATTAAACGAAAATATGCAGCAGGTATTCTGATTAAATGAGCACATGATCGACCAAACGAGCAAGCAAATTATAGTTATTGTGTACAGACCACATGAAGAAGATAAACGTCAAATCCACGAATATGTTGACGTAATAACAATGATTTATCACATGAGGTATGAGATACACCCAATTAGACTGCGATACTTTTCGCCACCAGAGGACATCGAAAGTATTTTTGAAGAGTATGTAAACGACCCATCCAGCTACTACCCGTTTTGACCACATGTGCATCTCTTGGTACATTTTTGGAATCCCCAACTCTTCCAACGTGTCGTCCACAATGGCGAGCCTCTTAATGCATGTCCTTAATTTCTGAAACGTTATGTGAGATGCAATTGAAGAAGGGGGGAGATCACTTAAAAGATGTCACTAAGAATTAAATTTAACTATTTCTTTTTTGTCGACGCGAATTTCTTCTTTTTGCGAGTTATGTGCTCTTCAACGACGAAGTTTGCCTTTCGACAAGCGTTTTTGTTCAGAATCACTTGCATGGGAGAGGTTTTCACTCCAAATAGCATTACGATACTCGGATGTCGCGCAGTAAACTCGCTGACACACGAACAGCCCGACATTGTCGTTGCATATTGCTATTACGCCGTCATACCTTGTCATAAAATAAGCCGATGATTACGGACATGAGCGTAATGAGCATGTCGATCACATACAGGATTATCGAAAGGATTGTCAGAAATGTCATGTTCCATGTTAAAGACATCATTATGCAATAGTAGAAGTAGCCATAAGCGCACCACAGCATCAAAGAATACAAAGCACTCAAGCACGGCTTCGCTCGATTCGTATGATAGATTCCCAAGCCGATAATAAACCAGGTGACGAGGAGGGGTTTTACGCTCTGTTGGATAATAGTCAACGTGGCCATCGTCTGCCGCAAACTAACAACGAAGGTCCGTTGAAACTCTCATTTGCCGTATGCATCGCTCTGTGTTACGTCGACGCCACAAGAAAACACGGATCCTCGCAATCACAATATTTACGTTGTTCATGCACTTAAGCATATGAAAATAATTGATCTATTCTGATAAAAGAAATTAGTCGTCATTGAAGTCATCCTTCATGCCGTAAATCAAGCGAAACTCATTAAAATACCAACGGCAACGCCAACGCCAACGTGGACATATTTTTTGTGTAAACAGAAGCTCTATTAAATAGAAGCTTCTTTATTATCTATTTGGAATAATCATACAGTGTGTTGTGCATACGCAAGAAATTATAATTATTTTACTGAACCTTGTTTTTATTTCATTTGCTTGATTGCAGCTATTATTATGATTGTCGTGAAGCATTGTACAAACTGAAAGAAATTGTCTTATTACACTTAGAATTTTGAAATTTAATATAAATAAACAAATAAATAAATAAATAAATAAAAATATATATATATATGTGTGTGTGTATGTCTGTGTGTATGTGTATGTCTGAAATGGGTTACGGACCATAAGCATAAATTTGTAGCCGATATTGAAGAATCAGTACACGGAGATCGTTAAAGGCTTTTGCAGTAATTGTAGCAGACATTGCGTAATCTGTAAATAGATGAATAATTAGAAATATATATAGTTTCGCGTAAGCAAGTATTTATACGTTAGAATTGTCTTACATTTTGCTCTGCATCGAGGGTAAGATTCGATAATCTGTTGAGAATTACTCCGCCACCCTTCGCCTAATATTAACAGAATTTAATAATTATTATAAAACATTATATTAAAAAGTTATATATACAAATTAAAATAATTTTGTATTCCAATTAAAATATGCAAATTACAAAGAATAAAGATTTTTAAGAGGGAAAGGATCAGATGCTATTTTATTATATATTTAAAGTTATATTATTTAAAGGTTTAAAAAGTAAACAACAAATTGCCAGTATTACTTAATTGTTTGCAACATGCTTTTCTGTAAAAGGAGTAGAAACACCTTAACACGAAGTTCTTCACAGACGTAATTAAAAGTGAATATTCTGATGTATTATCTGCAAACTATCAGCGTTATTTTCATCACATCGTAGAGCGCGTTTACATTTAGCGAGTAACTCACCACGTATGGCACACACAAATCGAGTAGCAGTTGAGTTGGCACAATACGATCTTTCTAATGGTTCTCATCGTATGTAGATATAATATGATATGATACGCCAAGCGCTATTGAAACGACAGATTAACCGAATAATCAATGATAATGTATACACACATTCAAACACGTTGCAAATTGTTAGAAAATGCAATTAATTTTGGTCTTGTAAGGATTTTGCTGAAGCGCAGTATACATCGGATTTCTGTTTAA